GGGAGACCTGGGTTTGATCCCTGGGCTGGGAAGATCCCCTGGAGAAGGGAAAGGCTACCCACTCCAGTTTTCTGGCCTGGAGAATTCCATGGACTATACAGTCCATGGGGTTGTAAAGAGTCAGACATGACTTTCACTTCATGCATTAATACACTATATTGGTGTTTCTCTTTCTGACTTACTTCACTCTGTATAATAGGCTCCAGTTTCACCCACCTCATTAGAACTGGCTCAAATGTGTTCTTTTTTATACATGAGTAATATTCCATTGTGTATATGTACCACAACTTCTTTATCCATTTGTCCACCAATGGACATCTAGGTTGCGTCCATGTCCTAGCTATTGTGAACAGTGTGCACAGATGAGATACCAGGGAAGCCCTCAATAACTTTATCTTAATACCAATAATAAGGAAATCAATCCTAGCTCTATGCTGAACTAATCTATTGACCAATAGAGGCAACAATGTTAATATGAGTAACTAGAAATATTTCTTCTTACATAAACTTACATAAGCAGCTAATAATATACTGACACATGCATGCATGCTAAGTCACTTCAGTCGTGTACAACTCTTTGCAACTCTATGGATTATAGCCCGCCAGGCTCCTCTGTCTGTGGGATTCTCAAGGCAAGAATACTGGAGTGGGTTGCCACGCCCTCCTCCAGGGGATCTTCGTGATGCAGAGCTCAAACCATAGTCTCCTGTGTCTCCTGCATTGGCACGTGGGTTCTTTACCACTCATGTCACCTGGGAAGTCCAATATACTGATACTTAACAGCAAATAAACACAACTCAAGATTATTCAGTAATTGTGCTATTAATCTAACACAGGCAGGCACTCAAGGAAAGATTTTTAAAAAGTAAAAGGAACACAGAAAACAAAAAAACATCACCTCTAGCACAACTAGTATTAGAGGCCCTGCCTGCCCAGTGACAACTGGTAAACAGCCATGGTGTCCTGACTGTACAGAGGTGACTGTACATGGCGTATATGGTGTCCATGGCGACTGTACAGAGGTGGCTGTACATGGCATATATGGTGTCCATGGCGACTGTACAGAGGTGACTGTACATGGCGTATATGGTGTCCATGGTGACTGTACAGAGGTACCATAATCATTTGTTCTCTAAATAAGGACTTGTATGAGTGGCCACATGAGGGTTTTACGGTTTCTTACTTTCAGTCGGTTTTCTGACCTCCACGTGAACAGGCAGCAATAGCAAAATAAAACAAGACCCTTTGGAGCTTTAATTAACTAACTCCCTAGAAAACTAACTAAACCACTAAGGGATAACAAATTTTTAATATGGGTTGACATTTTTGGTTGGGGTGTCCTCAGAGAAGAAAAATATCTCCAAATGATTAAAGTCTAGATTTATGAGTAAAAATATTATCCCTTGTTGATCCAAAAATTGATCAACAGAACCAGTTACCCTAGGAATAACAGTGCAATCCTATTCTAGAGTTCATATTGACAAAAGGTCTATGAACTCAATGTTGGATCAGGACACCCCAATGGTGTAACTGCTATTAAAAATGTGTTTGTTCAATGATTAAAGTCCTACATGACCTGAGTTCAGACCAGAGTAATCAAGGCTGTTTTCTATTATATAGTTCTTCCAGTGTGAAAAGACAAAGGGAAATAATGCCCATGTGAAAAAACTGCCACATATATATATACACACACACACATATATAACCAATTAATGATGTAATTTAATATATACAAAATATTACCCAAGAACAGAGTTTATTAAGGTGACAGAATCCAGTAATTGTGTAAAACTTAACCCTTTATAGGTTAAGGTTCAACTCCTTTCCCTAACAAATGTTTATAATTAACATCTTAATATTCATCATCTGCATTCTTTTAGCCATGGCATCTCTTGCATTAATTTAGCCAAAAATCTTAGGTTATATGCAACTTCCAAACAGACCAAATATTGTCAGACCATACAGCCTATTACAACCTATTGCTGATACAGTCAAATTATTAAAGAACCACTACTCATCAAGGAACCAGCTACATCTTCCATTTCTATGCCAATCCTAACTTTAACCCTAGCCCTAATCATACAAATGGCTCTGCCCATACATTATCCCCTCATTAATATAAATCTAGGGGTAATACTTATACTAGCTATGCCAAGCCTAGCTCTATGTTCCATCTTATGATCCAAATGGGCTTCCAACTCAAAGTACACATTAATCAGAGCCTTATGTGCAGCACACAATTTCACATGAAGTAACACTAGCAATTATTCCTCTATCAATCCTCTTAATAAATGCATCTTTAACCCTCTCAACCCTCATCACGAGAACATTTATGAATAATCTTCCTATCACAACCCCTAGCTATAATCAATCTATTTATTTCCACTCCAGCAGAAATTAACTGAGCTCGAACCCTCTTTGACCTAACCAAAGGAGCATCTACGCTTGCATTGGGTTTCAATGTAGAATATGCAGCAGGCACACTGCATATATTTTTCTTAGCAGAATATGCCAACATTATTATAATAAATACTCTCACAATAATCCTCTTTCTAGCATATTCCACAACCCCCACATACCAGAACTATATACAACCAACTTTATTATAAAACACTATCAACAATATCTTTGCTATGAACTAAAGCATCCTACCCTCGATTCCCACATGATCAACTAATACATCTACTCTGAAAAAACTTCCCACCACTAACACTAGCCCCCATGCATATGACACATCTCACTACCTATTATAACATCAAGCATCACCCTCCACAAATGTAAGAAATGTATGATAGGGACTTCCCTGATAGTCCAGTGATTAAGAATCTGCCTGCCAATTCAGGGGTCACAGGTTCAACATCTGGTCCAGGAACTAAGATCCCCCATGGCCTAGAGCAACTAAGCACATGCAGTGCAACCACTGACCCCACGCTCTCTAGAGCCCATGCTCCTCAACAAGAGAAGCCACCACAATGAGAAGCTCAGGCACCACAACTAGAGAAAGCCCACCCACAGCAACAGAGACCCAGTGCAGCCAAAAATAAATCTAAAAAATAAAGACAAAAAGATTCTTTAAAAAAAAAGTCTGATAAAAGTTACTTTGCTAGAGTAAGTAACAGAGGTTTAAACCCTCATATGTCTAGAATCATAGAAACTGAACCTACCCTTAAGAATTCAAAATTCTTCGTGTTACCATATTATATATTCTATAGTAACGTCAGCTAAATAAGCTATCAAGTCCATTCTCTGAAAATGTTGGTTTATATCCTTCCTGTACTAATAAATGCCATCATCTTTATCATCATAGACCAAATATTGTCAGACCATACAGCCTATTACAACCTATTGCTGATACAGTCAAATTATTAAAGAACCACTACTCATCAAGGAACCAGCTACATCTTCCATTTCTATGCCAGTCCTAACTTTAACCCTAGCCCTAATCATACAAATGGCTCTGCCCATACATTATCCCCTCATTAATATAAATCTAGGGGTAATATTTATACTAGCTATGCCAAGCCTAGCTCTATGTTCCATCTTATGATCCAAATGGGCTTCCAACTCAAAGTACACATTAATCAGAGCCTTATGTGCAGCACACAATTTCACATGAAGTAACACTAGCAATTATTCCTCTATCAATCCTCTTAATAAATGCATCTTTAACCCTCTCAACCCTCATCACGAGAACATTTATGAATAATCTTCCTATCACAACCCCTAGCTATAATCAATCTATTTATTTCCACTCCAGCAGAAATTAACTGAGCTCGAACCCTCTTTGACCTAACCAAAGGAGCATCTACGCTTGCATTGGGTTTCAATGTAGAATATGCAGCAGGCACACTGCATATATTTTTCTTAGCAGAATATGCCAACATTATTATAATAAATACTCTCACAATAATCCTCTTTCTAGCATATTCCACAACCCCCACATACCAGAACTATATACAACCAACTTTATTATAAAACACTATCAACAATATCTTTGCTATGAACTAAAGCATCCTACCCTCGATTCCCACATGATCAACTAATACATCTACTCTGAAAAAACTTCCCACCACTAACACTAGCCCCCATGCATATGACACATCTCACTACCTATTATAACATCAAGCATCACCCTCCACAAATGTAAGAAATGTATGATAGGGACTTCCCTGATAGTCCAGTGATTAAGAATCTGCCTGCCAATTCAGGGGTCACAGGTTCAACATCTGGTCCAGGAACTAAGATCCCCCATGGCCTAGAGCAACTAAGCACATGCAGTGCAACCACTGACCCCACGCTCTCTAGAGCCCATGCTCCTCAACAAGAGAAGCCACCACAATGAGAAGCTCAGGCACCACAACTAGAGAAAGCCCACCCACAGCAACAGAGACCCAGTGCAGCCAAAAATAAATCTAAAAAATAAAGACAAAAAGATTCTTTAAAAAAAAAGTCTGATAAAAGTTACTTTGCTAGAGTAAGTAACAGAGGTTTAAACCCTCATATGTCTAGAATCATAGAAACTGAACCTACCCTTAAGAATTCAAAATTCTTCGTGTTACCATATTATATATTCTATAGTAACGTCAGCTAAATAAGCTATCAAGTCCATTCTCTGAAAATGTTGGTTTATATCCTTCCTGTACTAATAAATGCCATCATCTTTATCATCACCCTAACAACCATTATCTCAGGGACCATAATTGCAATGACCAGCCGCCACTGACTACTTATCTGCATCCAATTCAGGCACTGGCTGTTTGTCCCACCATGATTTGGTGAAATCCTTATCACCCTTTAATTAGCATAAATGTCACTTCCTTGGGGACATCTTCCCTGAAATTTCCAACTAGGCTCACAGCACCCTGTGCTTATCACTATCATAACAAATATTTGTCAGCATCGTTTTCCCTCCTCACTTGGCCACACCTTGTTCACAGCTGTGTCCCCAACACAGATGGGCACACACAATTGGACAATTGGCTGTTGCAACAAACCAGCCTCATGTATAATGTTCTATTCCTGATCTTGGCAGGAACACTACCTAAAAGCTCCATTTCTACTTCTGTCTCCACCTCAAGGACAGGATCCTGCTTTATTCAACCTTACACCCAGCACCTAACAGAGCCTGGCACTCAGTTACCCTTAGCAACCTATGTAAATCGTTCTGAGGCATTAAAAAGGAATGAAGAGAGGAGGTTCAATGTAATTTTTGCCCAGTAAGAATAGAAAAGGGAAACCATACCTTCAACAGGGCCGATTTGATTGGTCACGGCAAATCTGAGCACTTTTTCTTCATCCGAGTACAAGGCAAAGACCCGGTCAACATTCAGCTGCTGGGTGATGGGGACGGCCCAGTGTCTGGGGGCATGCCTGCACACCTGGTAAGTGATGTTCTGGTGGATGCGGTAGGACCGTGTTTGGTTGGTGGCACCAGACATGAGAGAGTAGGTTCTGGTACTTGTGGAGGTCACAGCTGCAACAGACATCATCCAGTCAAACAAGAAAATTTGCAAATATTAAAAACAGAGGGTTTTTTTAATGTGGGTTGAGTTTCTTGGCACAGCTTTTATGTAGTTGCTGGAGTATGTCTCCCTCAGAAGTTCCTGAGTTTAAATGGGAACCTGTGAGGCAACCCCAAGAACCGGTGTAAAAGTAAAACCACAGCGCTGAGATCAGGAGATGTAAACCCTGCTGTCAATATTCACAAAGCATACACTATGTTATGTGCCAGCCATGCCCAGCACTTTATATGCACTGCCTCAGTTACTCCTCACAGTAGCCAGTAAGGTGGACCCTGCCATCTTGTATGGAGAGCCTTACAGAGGTTAGGGAATAGTTAAGAAGTAGTCTAAGACACAAGGCTGCTAACACAGAGTGGTAACTGGAATTCAAGTTGGCCTGACTCGACTTCCCAAGTTTTCAGCCAATCCATCCATCAGTGCACCGAAAAGAAGCTTTCCAACACCTCGCACTTAAGTCTGCGGGCTTCTGGAGAAAGGAAGTGGTGGAGGGCGTCTTCTATCTCCACCTGAGTGCAGAGTAGGGAGGGCTGAGTGCTTTCTGGCCATCAGTCACCCTGTGCCCAGGCCAGGCCTCTGGCCCACTCTCTTCCTTGTGCCTCTTGCCTGACTTCATCATGGAAGAAGCAAAGGCACAATCAAAACCCTTGTGCTGCAGGACAGGAGCTGAGATCAGGGCAGCACCTCGAAAGCAGGTGCTGTTTTACAGAACACATCACACCTAACACGTCACCCATGTGAGACAGACAGAAAGCGGGTTATTATTCTAGAGATGAGCAAACAGGTTCCCTGATGTAAGTGACCTTATTCCCCACATTCTTTAGACACATTATGACAACAATTCCTATCTTCTGACTCCAAATTTAACAGTAGTTTTACAGCACTGCAGCTCCAAACAAGGTTACGGAACAAGTATAAATTCCAATAATCAGTATTTTTCCATGGTCCAGAGAGGATGAGAGTTAAAAGCCATACATAATTATACCATCCCTTCCCACTCCGCAGACAGGGTTGTAACTGATTATGTTATTATTACTTGCAGGTACTGGGTGGGGATATTGATATCCTTATGTACAACAGCTAGCACTTTTCTCACACTAAAAAAATAACAAGAATGATCAAACCAATATTGAACTAATTTCACGGGCCACGCACTGTTCTAAGGACATGCAATCAGTCACATCATCTTCATAACTATCTTGTGAGATGTGTACCATCCCCATTTAACAGATGTGAGAACTGGCGGCATGCACCTGAGTCTGCGTAGTGGTAGAGTTCCTTGTAGGGAGCCATGTGGGCGGAGAAGTTTGCTGGGATGTAAGGCACCTGGCCTTGAATGTTGGTCTTAATGCTCAGGTAGTTCTCTGGGTCCAGCCCCTCAGCAGTTTGAGTGATTCGAACCCTCTCCTCTCCTGGGTAGAAAGTAACTTCCACGTCATGAATAAAGGTAGCACCTGGAGAGAAAAATAAAAATTCAGCATGGGAATGAAAAGAAGCATTGCATCTTTCAGCAATAATCACCAGTGTGTACTTCCACTTCCCAATTTCTGCTGGTGTTGGAGACAGTACCTAAGGAGATCTGATAACTAGGGTAAAGTACTATCAGTTGTTGATTTCATGAGCTCCTCAAACTTTCTGTTCAAGAGTGTGGTTCCATCCTATCCCATCTCACACTGCTTCTCTTTGTAGGAACTTGTTTTCTATGAAAAATAAACCCCTATGAACATCCTTGACCTTTCTCTTTCTAAGGTTGCCAGACTTGATAAAACCAAACAAAACTCCTCAGGACACCCATTTGTATTTTAATTTCAGATGAATAAAAAACATATTTTTAGCATAAATTATGTCCCATACAATATTTGGGGCATACTTACAGAAATTATTCAAATTAATCATTGTTTATCTGAAATTCAAATGTAACTAGGTATACTGTATTTTATTTGTCTACTTTTGACTCAAGGTTTTATCAAACCTTGATTAAAAGCAAGACCCTACAAATGGCTATTGAGCTCTATAGCTCGAGGTGGGCAAAGAACTTCTCTCTCACACTTTATGTGCAATAAAGATAAATCCACTAGGGAACAAGGTATACTGAGGTGACAAGCCGAGATGTATTCCCTATACCCTTGCTATCAAAGGGTGGGCCTCAGACCAGAATTATCATCTCCTGGAAGCTCGCTAGGAAAACAGGATCCCAGATACCCTGGCCCCACTTCCCTGCACCTTTCCCCTCCCCCTACTTAATCAGAACCTCCCCTTTCCTGAGGCCCCAGATGATGTGCATATGGGTTGAAGTCTAAGGAGCGCTGTCTGTACCATTATAGGTGCGAGTCATCAAGGGACAAGGAGGAAAGGCACCCCTCCCCATGAAGTGAAATCACCTCCAGGTGCCTTAGAATTTTCACGTGCATCCCTATTTGACGCATATGCACATGACAACTTAGTCACATGGAGTGTGACACACAGGCTTCAACAAATGGGGTAAGAGACCATGAATGATCCAAATGGAATCATCCTACTTCTCAGAACAACCTGGAAAGCATTTAGAAGGAATCATTGGGTCTTAAAAACAGTCCTGCAAGGCCAAACCATCCCTCATGACCTCGGACAGAACAAGCCCACCTGTGTGGCTCTGGAGCAAGTGAATCCTCTTCCACTGAGTGGAAACCCAAGCCTCCATGCCACCAAAGCAGTGGTGACCGCATCCTTGCTCACCTGTGAGGCTGAAGCCGTTCTCCCAACCTGGTTTTTCTAAAGCAAAGAGCCAGCCAAATAGGCCTCCGATCGGCGTGAGTGGGAGAAGGGCCTGGGCAGCGGGCTGCGGGATGTGGCTGATGGCCGTGTAGGCTCTGCCGTCGTTGCCTACCACGTAAGCGTGCAGATCCACGTCGGTGAAGTGCACGGGTGTGTGGCCCACGAGGAGGTGCCCACTCACCTTCCCATTGACTCGATGAGGTGCCCCTGAGAGATAGCAAACCCTGTCAACCTTGACCATCATCCAGGCGCACAGATAAAGCCACCCACCAACTCCCCAGTCTCCATCTTCAGCCCTTTTCCCAACTCCTTAACATCCCACTGGCCATCTAGGTACCAGACAGACCTGCCTTCCATCTCTCTCCTCCCATCCTCCCTCTCTCCCATCCACTTTGACTCTAATGCACTAGCAAAATGGGAGGAAACATTTCTGGTTAATCCTCAAATTGGGAAATTAGCTCAAACGTGTTCATTCGTCAGACATTTATGGAGCACCTGCAAGTTGCTAGCACTTTGATTCAAATAGTAGTGACACAGTGTCCATAAGCAGAACTCATGGTGGCTGCTAGAAACAGCGAGTGGCAGGAACAGACCCAGAGCAGCCCCCTGCCCCAATCAAGCCATCACCCCTCACCTTCGGGTAGACAGTGCTTCCCGTTCCCATAAAACCTGGACTGGCAGTGGCAGCAGAAACCCGTGGCATAGTCAGTGCAGAAGGCATGCCGGGAGCAGCGCTCGTGATTGTGTTCACAGGTCTCCTTGTTGGCAGCATTGTATGTGAAGACTTTCCTTAACATCCCACTGGCCATCTAGGTACCAGACAGACCTGCCTTCCATCTCTCTCCTCCCATCCTCCCTCTCTCCCATCCACTTTGACTCTAATGCACTAGCAAAATGGGAGGAAACATTTCTGGTTAATCCTCAAATTGGGAAATTAGCTCAAACGTGTTCATTCCTCAGACATTTATGGAGCACCTGCAAGTTGCTAGCACTTTGATTCAAATAGTAGTGACACAGTGTCCATAAGCAGAACTCATGGTGGCCACTAGAAACAGCAAGTGGCAGGAACAGACCCAGAGCAGCCCCCTGCCCCAATCAAGCCATCACCCCTCACCTTCGGGTAGACAGTGCTTCCCGTTCCCGTAAAACCTGGACTGGCAGTGGCAGCAGAAACCCGCGGCATAGTCAGTGCAGAAGGCATGCCGGGAGCAGCGCTCGTGATTGTGTTCACAGGTCTCCTTGTTGGCAGCATTGTATGTGAAGACTGGAAAGTAAAACAAACTTGCATGAAAAGGACTAAGTGATTCTGATGCAGTGGCTGCCGAGCTTCATCATGGACACAGCATCTGCCCCATAAAATCCATTTAGAGTGTAATAAACAAATGCAGTTTTGATGAGACAGGGATGACATTCAACGCAGGGGGAATGAACTTGCTTGGTCTTCTGGCAAGTAGCACTGCTGACTGCTCGCATCTGGTCTCCCTGCAGAGCTGGTGAGCAAGGATGAGGCTGAGACCCTCTATGTGGGGACAGGAAAGCCAGCCAGAAAGTAGGTCTTAGGCTGAATTGTACAAAATGGCCATTTTCTGGGTCAAAAATGGCCAAAGGTCAGCAATTTTATATGGTTCAAACTACTAGCAATGAGTTTCTGAGAGGATGGCCAAAGAGAAAAACTAACAAAGGCGGTCTTATGTCTAACCATTCTTCTCTTCTTTTTTGGTAACCCTGAACTTGAGAGAGAATGACCTATAGCTTGTCTTACTACCCAGAATAAAAAAAAAATTGTTTTTCTGAAAGAGAAGAAGGGTGTTAAAGAAAGAACACACATACACGCACACCCCCTAAACAAAGTGTATGGGGAGGCAGGTCAAGATGGAGGGGAAGGAACAGGGAACCCAGGCGTGAAAAGTTCTGGGTCTTCACAGGGTTTCCTGTGGTGGGTGTCACCCAAGCGGAATGTCTGGGCAGTAGTGGAGAGCCTGACCACAGTCACCCCTCTCTAGGAAGCCATGTGGCCCCAGGTAGGTTCAATGCTCCAGTAGCTGTCCTTCCATCTCCCGCTTATTCTGCCCATTAAAAAAAGAAAGAGGACCATTTGTGCTGCCAAGAAAGAAAGGAACTGGAGCAGATTCCATTGTCACTACAGCGAACGGCCCAGGAGGTGGGGTGTGGCCAGGGGTGCTGACAGACAAGAGGCGGCTTGGGGACGATGCCAGTCCCTAGCACGGCCACCAGGAGGCAGAGCGGCTGTGCGCACCTCCGCCGCCGCCTCCCCAGGAGCAGGAGTTGGGTGGAGACTCCCCGAGCGGACTGAGGAGGAAGGCCGGCAGAGAACTCAAGGGCGAGACTCCGTCGCCGCTGTGAGGAACACAGATAACCTGCTCTTTGGAAAAACTGAGTGGCAGCTGCGTTCCAGGACTAAGTCTGAAAAGGAGGAAATGGGAAGGGGAGGAAGAAATGGAAAAATCAATACTTACCCAGTATTCCAAAAGAGACCAGAAGAAAAAATTGAGGGGCGGGGAGGTATACCACCATAGAAGTTAACAGTGGAGTCAGCATAAAGACTTGTACCAGCAACTGAGAATATAACAAAGTGAACACTGAAACAGTGCCTAATAAACGCCAGGTACTTTAAAGGCTAGGAACTTTAATTTTTTCAGTTTGCACAAGAGCAGGGACTTTTTTCAAATTCCTATATGCAGATAAACAAGTTCTGGCACAGATTAAACTGACTCTCCTAAAGTCACACAGGTGGCCAACGTGGGATTTGAACCCAGAGACAGTTGCTCCAGATTCTTAACAGCTGGACCTGACCACCCGCCGGTGGGGCCCAAGGACGTCTATGATGAGAGCTGGTCTATCAAAGGAGCTGGTCAGGTAACTAGCGTTAATCAACATAGGCTTGGACCAGTAGAGTTTGAGTCATACTTCATGTATCAGACGGAATGGGAGAAGACATCAGAGATCCCCCAGAGGGCTGTCTCACTGACAGAAAAGCACAGGTAAGAGAACTGAGTAGCAGGAGTCACTTGTGGACAGTATTTGACTGCTGTTTACAGGTTCCTGAGAAAGCAGCGAGCTGAGGGTTGGCAGGACAGATGATCTTGACTCAAGTGGAATATCTGACTGGGAACAGAAAATAAAGTTGGTGAATCAAGATTTGGTACTGGGCCTTGAGGACATGGCTGAGAAATTCCAGTTCGTTCAAAATAGAAAACCAGGCATCACTCTGAACATTTGGAAAGAAAATTAAAACAGGAAAGTGACACAAAACTCAATGCAGAAAAACAAAACAGATAATAAAAAAGATTGTTAAGAGGTGGCTATGAGGAAAAAACTGTGCATCCTTATTTACCATTGTTCTAATTAGAAAGAGAGGAGGAAATCCCAGTTTGAGTAAAAATAAATGAATGTAACTTGTCAAAATCTCGGATTTCTCCAGCTCAGAAAGTCATGAGTAAGTGTTAAGAAGCGGCTCCTGGAGGGACTGGCATACGTGTGTGTTCACAGCCTCAGCTACCATCAGGACCCTCCTCTCCCGGAGCACAAGACAACTGGGTGGCAAAGCGTCCCACATCTGACACTCAACAGCAGCCTGGCTTAGATGGCTCCACGGAAACCACAGAGATGCAGAGTCTGTTTCTTCCTCTCCAAAATCAGGATGACCCCAAACACACACATACCCCTCGTCACCAGAAATCACAACGTTTCTTAGCATACTTCTGGATGCAAAGGTGAAAAGGTGATCTGATGCAGGACTAAAGGGTAGTCATCTTCAGGAAATTCAAGTTAAAAAAAAGAAAATTGGTAAGATGAACCTATTTCCAGGGCAGGAATAGAGACGCAGGTGAGAGAAGAGGTATGTGGACACGGGAAAGGGTAGGCAGGATGAATTGGGAGATTGGAATTGACATACATACACCACCATGTGCAAAACCTAGCTAGTGGGAACCTCCTGTAAAGCACAGGGAGCTCAGCTGGGTGATCTGTGATGACCTAGAGAGGTGGGATGGGGGTGGAGGGAGGCCCAAAGAGGGAGGAGATATATGTGTGTGTGTGTGTATACACAATGTGTATATACATATACACAATGCTGTTTCACTTCATTGTACAGCAGAAACTAATGTTGTAAAGCGTTTGTATTCCAATTTAAAAAAACACTGTTCTGCCCTCAAATTAATAAATTATGGGTTTGTATTCAGTTCAGTTGCTCAGTTGTGTCCGACTCTTTGCGACCCCACTCTTTGAGCCTGCCAGACTCCTCTGTTCATGAAATTCTCCAGGCAAGAATACTGGAGTGGGTTGCCACTTCCTTCTCCAGGGGCTCTTCCTTACCCAGGGATTGAACCCATGTCTCCTGGATTGCAGGCAGATTCTTCACCATCTGAGGCACTAGGGAAGTCCTACAGATGTATAGAGTTGGGTTAATTGAACTAAACTACTAGGTGGAGGCATGGCTATTCTTTGGGTTAAAAGAGAGGCTTGATGGTGTAGCCAGCAACATACAAATGCAACTATGCCAACGCTTAAAAGTTTATAGGCACACCATCTGCATGTTTCTAACAAAAAATAAGTTAGGCCCCCATGAAAGTCTATTACATGACTGAAACTATAATTATAATGGGTTAGCTACTGGTAGGCTGGTTTGGGGGTCTTTTAAAACTGTGTATGTGGAGGGGAGGGGAGCTGCATGCTCAGGATGGGACTTGCTGAGCCAGGAATACAAGCTGTGCTTTCCAGCCCATGCAGGCCACGCAGGGGGAACATGGGTATGCTCCTGGTCAGAGGAACATCCGGTTCCTGTACCTGCCTCCATGTGCAGATAAGCATATGTAATACTGACAGTGTCAACTTAGGTGAAAGGCAAAACGCTCCAATTTTCTTTCAATAATTCAAACAAGTATTTACCAAGAACTCCCTATGCGCCTGGCCCTGGAGTAGGAACAGCAGGGAACAAGAGAAACAAAAATTCCTGTCCTGGACTTCCCTGGTGGTGCAGTAGATGGGAATCCGCCCGCGTTGCAGGGATGGGTTCGATATCTGGTCGGGGAAGAGTCCACATGCCTCGGACCAGCTAAGCCTGTGCGCCACAGCTACTGAAGCCTTCGTGCTCCAGAGAGCCTGTGCTCTGCGGCAAGAGAAGAAACTAGCAATGAGAACCCTGCACACGGCAACCAAGAGTAGTTCCCCCTTGCTGCAACTNACAGGGATGTTCATTTCCTGGCGTGGGAACTGCAAGGCTGGAGCTGCGGCTTCCTGGAGGAGGTCTGTGGGAGGTCAGTTCTGGCAGCTCCTTTGAGGCACCTGGGAAGCTCCACTCTGGCTCTGACTGGGACTTACACCTTCCACATGGTGCCAGGCAGAGGGAACGCTGCCTTCCTTCCTATGGATTCTGGGAACCACTGCGTCAGAACCACCTGGGATCCCAACTAAAAATGCAAATTCCTAGGGCACACCTTTGACCTACCAATTCAGACTCAGTGGGCGGATCCCAAGAGTCTGCACCTTAGCCACTCCTGGGGTCTCTTATGCCCAGGCATGACAATGGTCAGCATATTTGCAAGCCTTCCCTTTCTGAATTGGAGAATGCTGTTTCATGTAGTGAATGAATTTCATCTGACCAATTAATTAGAAGCTCCTGGAGTGGGTGGGATTTCAGGGAATGCTTTAGCATTCACTCCTGCCCTGGCTGAGAAGCAGGACTCTGCGCTGGATGGCCCACTTAGGCTAAGTCCCCAAGCGTGGCACGTGAAGATCCTTAATGGAGAAAACCAGGCGCCCAGGACCCAGGTCTTTATCCGGGCAAGAAAAGCCAGACTTCTGGCCAATGTGACTTCTCAAACTTCTATGGGAACTGCAGGTAGATTCAAGGATGCTGAACCCCATGGAGGTGGGGAATCAGTGTCTGAATCCCAGCTGGATGAGATGTGCATTGAGTGCCTTTTCTCTCTCAGTGGTCATTTCTATGCCTCTTTAGCTCACAGTTGTAAAGTGTTTTCACACAATTCTTCCTGTTCCACAAAGATTATACAATCTGGCTCTAAACCCCACATTCCTTCCCTCATGTCAGCAATACTCAATTGAAGTGGGCTTCAGAATCACTAGGGGACCTGGCTTAAACAGGCAGATTCTGGGTCAGAAGGTGGAGGATGGGTGTGGAATCAGCATTATAAACCAGGGCCATGAGAGAGAGCCACAAGTGGACTAGAGCCACACTTCAAGAAATTTAGTTTTTATCCCACAGATTCCTCTCTCCCAAATTTTACCCACTCCAGGCCCTCTGGGGACCCACATGCTGCCTGGCAGCTCCTGTCACAAGGGAGGCACAAGTCTGCTGGCAATTTAGACCTCAGAGGGTGGAGGGCAGCCAGGTGTGAATAGGCTCAGTTTGCAGCAGTTTTGTTAACTGAGGTTAGACGGTTGCTAAAGAAATCTCCCTATGAGGATTTTTTAAAAGTCATTTCTTTTTTTGCATTGAATGCTTTTTCACTCTTTTCCTATCCTTAAGGGAAAGAAAAAATGGGGGTGGAGTCACGGGGCTATATCAGGAAAAAGAAGGAGAGGCGCTGCCAGGGCACTTGAGACTTGTCCTAACTGGGAGATTTTCACACAAATGGAAAACTCCCCCTCTGCACTTACTCTGATCCATCCTTCAGTCTTCATTTCTCCAAAAACCCTTAAGCACTCGTCTTTAGCCCTGGCCCAGCCACGTGGAAGACTGGCAGGCTCCAGGGTGCAGACCAGATTCACCGTGCAAATGGGGACCAAGGGCTTTCCTGAGCTGGCCCTGTGTCTGGAAACTGGGCTGACCTTTAACAGCTCTTCCTGCTACCTCAAGATAAAGAACCTACATTTTTCACTGCAGGACAGATTTTTTCTAAGTTTCCCATCTCACAGCATGACAGACGAATTAAGAAAAACCACATCCAGCTTTATAATGAAAAACAGTGGCAGGCTTTTCCCTCCAGTGTTCATTTGTTTTTGGCGTCTATGTGTAGTACATAGTGAAGCTGGCTAGGCAAACAGGTATTAGGACCCTGATTTTTGTTGGGGGCAGGGTTACATCTGACCCTAGAAGCCTCTCCCTTAAGGTGTCTTCAGCAGTATGGGTGACCCTATTATTCACATTCCCTCAGCAACCTGGGGGTGCCCCCCCACCCCTAGAGAGGGGCTTTTGTGTCTGGAAGGCTGGGTTGGGCAGCAGAGCCTGTTTGAGTTCATCCCAGGGTAGAAGCTACTTGAGACACATCCCTAAGGCCTTTCCCAAGGCCAGAAGCCACAGGGGAATCCTGTTCACATCCTGGGCCTTCCCTGCATGACTGCCACCTAAGTACAATCAACAGGATCGCAGGACAGAGTGAGAATGCCTGAGGGTGCTGAAAGCCAGCTGTCCCCTCATCATGCAGACTGAGGTCAAATTAAGCTCCTCACTGCACCACCTGGGCAGGTAGGTTTAAGAATCAAGAATCTCTATGGCCCCTGTGAATCAAGTTTGTCCCTGCTGCCCACAACACTGGCAGGCTCCAGGCAGCGAGAGCCTTGCTGGCAGCTGCCTCTTACACCTACCCCCTGCAACTCTCTCTCTCTCTCTCTCTCTCTCTCTCGCTCTCGCTCTCGCTCTCCATTTCCACCTTACAACCTCCACTCTTGTCACTCCTCTGTCCAGAATACGCCCCACTTTCTCCCTCCCAAAACTGAGGCTTTGACCTCAAGGCCTGGCTCAAGTCCTCCTCCTCCAGGAAGACGTCCCTGATGGCACCACAGGTGGATATGCCCTACAGGGTGCTTGCTCTAACCTTCCACAGCTCTGCTGCAGTCCTGGTCTGCCTCTTACCCAGACAAATCACTCAGTACTTCAGGCTTCCGTCTCCTTCTCTGCACTGTGGGAAGGATCTACTGCACAGGGCAATTCTGAGGATTAACTGTGCTAGTGCCATCCAAGCAAAGTTCCCGCTCAGAGTCCAAGTGGACACCCGGTAAATATCAGTGAAGCCTTCCACTAGTGCCCTGATCAGAGGAGGGCACTGCTCTGATAATTTTTGGTTTGACAACAAGTTTCCAGAGTTGCTTGGAGAAACAATACCCCTGAAACAGAGAAAGTTTGTGCAGCCAATTTACTGCTGGTTTTCTGGTCTACAAAAAGATAACAAAGAAAACAATTAGCTTGAGGCTAGATGAAATTGGGACATTCTTGCCTGGTGTGGACAGGATCTAAAAAGAATCTAGATTTCTCAACAAAAAGTCTATAAAAATAGTCCCTAAAGGGAAAAAAAATTTTTTAAGAGAGGGGAAATCTATTTAATTTCTTGGGTAAGCAAGTTAACTACTATGAAACTTAAAGGCAAAAGTAAAATCTACTGGGCCTGGTGCTTCCGTGCCCAATTTTAATTCTTGCAACTCTTCGATGAGGTCCCAGGTGCTAGTGATAAAGAACCTGCCTGCCAATGCAGGAGATATAAGAGCCGTAGGTTCGATCCCTGAATTGGAAATATCCCCTGGAGAAGGACACAGCAACCCACTCCAGTATTCCTGCCTGGAGAATCCTATGGACAGAAGCGGGCTACAGTCCACAGGGTCGCAAAGAGTTAGACACAACTGAAGCAACATAGTACACACAGCACACACACATTATCTCTGCTTCACAGCTGAAGAAAACGAGACTCAGAGCACATGTCTTATCCCAAACCACATAACAGAGCTGGAAATCAAACTCAAGTCCATTGAAAACCAAAATCCACACTCCTCCACTCCATCATTAGAAAAAGTTGGCAACATGGCTCAAGCCTGGCATTTTAGCAGGCAGTGTTCGATGTGAGTCTCAGTCACCCCACCCACTAACTTTCCCAGAGGGAGTCCACTTTTGCCTGACAGACCTGTGGGATGCTAATGTTTTGCATGAAAAAACAAATTTCACTGCCAAAAAAAACCAAGTAATTAATAACTGCATGATCCTATACAGTCAACCCTCTGGTATCCACAAGTTCTGCACCTGCATATTCAAGGAGCTGTGGGTCCTGTGCCCACAGGACCCCTAAGGTCCACGGTAAGGGGAACCCACAGTTGAGGGAGCTGAGGTGGCAGAACCAGGGATCCGAAGGGCTGACTGAAGGCCCTGAGCATACGCACATTTTGGTATCTTCAAGGGGAGAGGGGGTCCTGAAACAAATTCCCTGAGGATACTGAGTCTTCCTAAAACCCAAGATGAAATCAGAGGTTCAACTATTTTTCATTTCTGCTTTCCAGTTTTAAAGCTTTCCCTCTCTGCTAATGTGGTGGCTGATTTTTCTTTCTTCAAGGTTCAAAAACTTATAGTTAGATTTTTTTGCCCTAAATGTCTTATTGTATTACCCAGATGTCTCAAACGCATGTTGCCATTTCCGAGATGTCAGGGGTAGGCGTTATCAGCAGCTGGTAAATATCATAGTTCATGCCCCACGAGAGTTATGGCTGCTGTCTCTGTTCTCTATGGCCAGTTCCCTTGGCCTCTTACAGTTACGCCAGCTTCTCTCAACCCCTCACAGTTCAAAACAGGGCGTGCAGCCCATTCTTCTTAACCCTTTAACAAATCACTCCAGGGATCTGCTTTCTAATACTCCAAGCTCTTCTCAGGGCAGGAAGTCACAACCCACAAATGAAAAGACCACTTTGGAGCTTATCTTTACCTCAAAATCTCTTTGGTCAATAGAAACCAACACAATATTGTAAGCAATTATCCTCCAATTAGAAATAAATTTTTTTAAAAAGGAAAAAAGTCTTTGATATTTGGCTTTATATTTTCTTTAGATATATGGCACTTATGCTGAAAATTCAGGAGACTACACTAGAAAGGTGTGAAGGTTCTGAAGCCTCCCCATAAAATTCACATCTCTGACTTGAGAGAAATGTGGTCCTTAGGCACAAATTAAGGCACAAGTACTTAACAAGCCCACTCTTCATTCTCTACCACCCCACCCCCATTCCTCTTGCTTTAAATCCTCTATAATTAGTAAAAAGCAGCCACCACTTATTAAGATCTAACTAGTATAGACACTAACCTAAGAACTTCATTATCTCTTTCAATCCTCTCAACAAATTTAGGAGAAACTAGAGGTTTGGGGGTTACATGAAGCCAGCATGACAGCCAAGATTCGACCCTCAGTCTGACACCAATGTTCTCCTTGTCATCATTACCCAGCGTCACCTCAGTCATGAAATAGTTTCATCCCTCCACCTCCCAAAAGAAGCGCTTCTTCAAGCAAATTCTTGCAGGTCAGGGGCCACCGCAGAACCACCTGAAAGACGTTATGCTAGGTCAACCTGTTTTACTCTAAAAAGTATGAGAAACAGGAAAGGTGAAGAAAAAATACAAAGGTTCTAAAGAATGCTATCACCTCTGACCTCCTTCCTCCTGTCAGAGGTCAGATGAGCAGTCCCTGGAACAAATGGGATAAATCTGTGGCCAGTTTCCCATTCAGGTGTTCACATCTCTGACTGGGAAGAAAGAGCTGACCTGACAAGTCTCGCCTCCAAGAGAAGGCAACATGGGCTCCGTGTCTGTATTAATTAACCGAGGCCTCCCCTGGGCATTTCTCTGCTGGCCCCTCGCTCTGGTCAGTGAGTCATGAAATGAGGACAAGGCTCCGGGGAGCTGAATAGCACAGCTGCACAGCCGTGAACCAGAAATGACAAGACACAGGTGGTTCGCAGTTTTCTCCCCAGGGGTCCCCTCTCCCACACACTCCACCACCATGTCCCTAACTGAGGGCAGCACTGAGGTCATCCCATTATGGAGGAAGAATCTGGAATGTTCATCCCAGCCAGCACAACTCACCACTTGAAACTAAAGCCCGAAGCCCTCCATCACCATAATGTGCGTGAGGCCTCAAAACGCTTTACCTTTGTTGAACTTTCAGACTAAAATACTTCATTCCACTTGAGAGCATAGCTGGCACGAGCAACCCCCAGTTCTTCCCCACGTGCTTCAAGAAGCCCCCCTTTTTAAAAAAATATTATTAATGGTCAACAGATTCCAAACAGAATTTGCCTGCCAAGATTTCTTTGGCAAAGCGAAGATACTCGGGTTTTTAAAAATAAGTCCCCAGCTTCGTTTTGCTAAACTCTTCATCTACTTGCTTGAAAGAAAATTCATGAGTCTCTGCAAGACCAGCATTTTTTTTTTTTTTTCCAGTGAATTCTCAGCACCCAGGGTTCAAATCCACTTACCCTCAGTGTTGGAGCTGATGTCATCCTCCACCCCGACCACTTGCCTCCGGTGACCCAGGTGCGGGGCGTGGTCGGGGCCAGGGTAGTTGGGAAGGGCCGCCTCTCCACCCGGATGGGCTGGAAGAGCATCCTGGTCCGCTGGCCCGGCTCCTCCCTCTGGGGAGGGCGGCGGGGCTTCCCCGGGAGGAGCAGGTGAATCTCCTTCAGTCTCTGGAGGAGCAGGGACTCTGGTCCCTGGCTGTTCAGAAGACTCGACTCGCCCTTTTAAATCCGAGGCATCGGTCTCCCCCTGAGGTCTCCTCTCTTTGGTGTGAGGGTCCAAGGGGGAAGATTCTGTTTCAGGCCCACCCCGAGATGCTGAACGTGGCACAGGGGAGGCCAGGTCAGAATCTGGAGCAGAGATCCTACCTCTTAAAGAAACATCGACTGAGCTGTGGCCATTTGATGCCTCCGCTGGCTCACTAGGCGGGTATTCGATTTCCTCCTCATTCTCATCATAATCATCCAAAGGGTCCTGAGTGTAGTCATCCTCCAGGGCCACGGCATGGCTGAAGGACTGTCCCAGAGGAGCCGAAGGACGGGCTTTGGAAAGGTCTCCTCCAATGGTCGCTGGCCTGACGTTGTCCAACGGGGAAGTGCTGCCTATGTGAAAAGCCCACACTCCAGGAATGCCCAGGTTGCTGTGTCTAAATAAAAAGGAAAAAAAGATAATGTAGCATACATGTCCACCCACCACCTTCCTACAAAGGTGAGCAATTTATTTGAAAACTGAAAGACTATTCAGATCATATTAAGTTTTCACTGGCAGAGAACCAAACAAAACCAGACTTACATGATAACTGAAAAGCATTATACTGGAATTTTTATGCAAACAATCTCTTATTAAACAACGGGTTTCAAAGGCCATATGCCTACTACCAGACACTCAAATCAGAATTCTGTACTACATGTTTTATCTAAATGGCTATTTGAAAACACCTAGGGAACAAGGGCTTCCCTGGTAGCTCAGATGGTAAAGGATCTGCCCACAACATGGGCGACCTGGGTTCAATTCCTGGGTTGAGAAGATCCCTTGGAGAAGGGAATGGCTACCCACTCCAGTATTCTTGCTTGGAGAATTCCGTGGATAGAGGAGCTTGGCAGGCTACCATCCATGGGGTGGCAGAGTCAGACACGATTGAGCAACTAACACTCCCTGGTGACTCAGTGGTAAAGAAGGCTCCTGCCAGTGCAGAAGACACGGGTTCAATCCCTAGGTTGAGAAGATCCCCTGGAGAAGGAAATGGCAACCCAATCCAGTATTCTTGTCTGGAGAATTCCATGGAGGGAGGAGTCTGGTGGGCTACAGTCCAGAGGGACACAGAGTTGGACATGACTTACCTACTGAACACATGCACGCATACACACACACTTTTAATAAACTCAAGAAAACATGCTTAAACATTTCTGCCAAACACCTAAATAATAATGAGTCCTTTTTATTTGAGAGTTAATTACATGCCAAGTGCTTAACATTCTTCAACACAACTTGCAAGGCAGGGGCAGTGATATGCCTGATTTTTCAGAGGAGAAAACAGGTTTAGAGAGGTTAACTAATCTTCTTAAGGTTGCACAATAATTGGCAGAGTTTGGACTTGGATTCAGCAATAACACCAAAGCCCATGCTCTGAACATCCACGTCATGTCAGAAAATCAGTACACTATAGTCCGTCCACATCCTAATTATCTTACACGACAGAAAGTGAGAAACATTTCACTGTTTAGTCACATGGATTATTCAATTAATTCACAAACCCTAGTAAATCAATGTCAAAAAATTCAAAGAAATAGAAATACCTAAGTATCAAAAATGTTGAGCAAATGTAGAACAAAGGTTAAGCGGGGGATAAGAAAGCAGGTTAATTAACTGCCGTGGGTCACAGGTGAGAGGTGTCCAGAAACATTTGGAGCCAGGGAACTCACTTGTACACCTCCACTAGAAAAGAACACAGGCTCCATTCAGTCTTCCAAATATCCCAGCGATCCATTATTTTAGTCAATGATACATTCTAAAGAGAATAACCCCACAAACAATAAAAAAAAAAAGGAAAAACCCAAAGAAAGAAAGGGTCTGGCTGGCTTGAATACACCCATTTCTATACTCTCTGGTATGTGGACCAAACACCAAGCTCTCAGTCTCTCATGTTGTGGGATTTTCTCCGCAGTCAGTCCATGAGAAGTCAGTTAATGACTAATAATATAACAGGAAATTCATTGACTCATATGAGGACAAGAGAATTTTGCTCATTTGGGCTGGGATTCCTCACCTTCACGTGGATTTCTACAGCAATAATATTTATTAACACAATTCCGAGAATCAATCAGTCCCCACCTCCTCGCATGTTGTTACCCCCACTGCAGTTGTAATTAGTTTAGAGAAACGAGTGTAGAAAGAAAAACTTGATCCTTTGTGCAATATGCTATGTAAACTTAGTAAGTTCTAAGAATTAAATGCTGGTGCTTTCTGGCAAGCAAGCAAGGAATGCTAAAGAAGATAAGAGAGGATTCAGAAGATCTGAGGATGTTGAGTTTATTATCACATCGGAGGTGTTGCAGCTGTGAAATTTCTTCTTGAAGTTAGAAACAGAAAACTATAAAAGCTTCAAAGAGTAGGAAAGTACAAATTATGGCAGATAAAAGCTGAATAAAATAGCCTTCTAATTAAATATGAATCGCTATCCTGGCTTTTGTCATTGTGCATGATAGGAAAGTAGCCAGTTTGAGTTTATCCTAAAATCCAAGGTCATTTGGAAAGCTTAGCAATAGAAAGAACTTAATTTATTTCCTAGAAAGAAAACAAGGCTACAAAATGAGATGGACAGTGCCTTCCTCCCTGGGGTATTAGGAGGATTAAGCTAGAAAATCACATAAAATGTTCAGCATGGGGCCCTGCATATAATAAGTGCTTAGTAACTACTGTTTTCTAGGAGACAGAAAAGAATAATCTCAAAAAATGCAAATGTGTGCATGCATATTTAAATGTGCAGAAGGAGAATTATTACAAACACACTATGAATTATATAATTTATGACCTCTAAACTTATAAGACAAGTTTGAGAAAGAAAACAATTCTATTGACTAGGAGAATAATTTTATTTTTTAAAAATGCATACTGAAGCACTGAGGGGTGAGTGGCATGATGTGTGTCACTTACTTTAGTTACATAAAAAAGAAAAAAATTTTTAAGATAGCAAAATGTCAACAGCTTGTAAATTTAGATTACCTCCGCTTTTCTGCATATTTTTGAAATTTTAAATAATGAATGCTGGAAAGGGTGTGGGAAAAAAGAAACCCTCCTACACTGTTGGTGGGAACGTAAATCAGTACAGTCACTATGAAGAACTGTATGGAGATTCCATAAAACACTAAACATGCAACTGTCATATGACCCAGTAATCCCACTTCTGGGCATATATGCAGAGAAAACCATAGTTTGAAAAGATACATGCATTCCAATGTTCATAACAGCACTATTTACAATAACCAAAACATGGAAGCAACCTAAATGTCTATCAACAGATGAATGGATAAAGATGTGGTATATATATATATATACACACAACGGAATATTGCTCAGCCATAAAAAAGAATGAAGTAATACCATTTGCAGCAACATGGATGGACCTAGAGATTATCACACTAAATGCAGTAAGCCAGACAAAAGCAAATATCATATGATATTACTGATATGTGGAATCTAAAAGAAGAGAAAGACACAAATGAACTTACTTCCAAAACAGAAAGACACAGGCACAGAACACAAACTTACAGCTACCAAAGAGAAAGTGGGAGAGGGATAAATAAGGTGTTTGGGGTTAACACATACACACTACTATACATAAAATAGATAACCAATAAGAATCTATTGAATAGCACAGGGAACTATATTCAATATCTTGTAATAATAGGAAGGAAAGAAAGAAAGGAGAGAGGGAGGGAGGAAAGAAAGAAAAGGGAGGGAGGAAAGAAAGAAAAGGAAGGAAGAAAGAAGGGAAGGAAAGAAAAAAATAAAACAGAAGATTAAGTTGGGGAACCTTTCTATCATTTGGAGGTAGGAAAGGCCTTCCTAAAAATAATACCGAGACCTGAAATCATAAAGTAAAAGGCCAATAACTTTGGCAACCCTGAAGTTATACCATTTAGATCGTAACTACCTTTAAAGATGAACAACTGGATAAAAATATTGATGGCATTTAAGAGAAAACATTTTTACTAGATTTTTCTTACATGTAAAAGATCCCTGTAAATACCTCAGTAGAAAATAGCAAAGAAATGGCTATTAACCATTGAAAAGGTGCTCAGTTTTACCAGTAATCATAAAAATTAGAGTGAAAATAGAACATTTACACCTATCAGATTCACAAATATTAAAAAGATTAGAAGCCTGTAGGAAATGAACATTGTCAATCACAGCTCTCCATTATTGGTGGGATTGTAAGCTGGTGCAGGGTTTCTGAAGGGTGATTGGTTAACGTGCACTAAAATGTTAAACTGCATATAACTTTTCTCAGCAATTCTACTTCTAAGAATTTATCTTTAAGACAAATGAGCATCCGAACAATGTATATTATTTTGTTTACTGCAACAATAATTATAAAAGGAAAAACCAGAAATAGTTTATATGTTCATCAATCAGTTTATTGTTTTAATAATACAGGCCATATATGATGCCATGTTTTATAGCCTTCAAATAATAATATAAAGATACCTTACTGAAAGATGTCCATAAGACAGTGGTAAATGGGAAGATTCCATATGTATAACAAAAAAAAAAAACATTTTGGTTTTAAAAAGGTTTTACATACACCTAAACTTCTGAAATGACTATTAATAATGGTTATAACTTTGAAGCAGTAATAATGGGTGATTTTTACTTTTATTCACAATTATCAGCATTACTTGCACCTTATTTTAGTTTTTATACTAAACAGATTCTACTAAAGAAAACTTCTTCCTTCAGTCATTTTTGCCCCCTATCTTCCACTTTCAATCAAGCAACTCAGAGGTTTCTAGGAAGCATGAAAGACAAAGATGAGGTAAGCATTGTTGCTATTGTTTGGTCACTAAATCATGTCTGATTTTTGTGACTTCATGGACCATAGTCTGCCAAGTTCCTCTGTCCATGGGATTTTCCAGGCAAGAACACTGGAGTCGGTTGCCATGCCCTCCTCCAGGTGACCTTCTCAACCCACAGATCGAACCCCCATCTCCTGCATTGGCAGGTGGATTCTTTACCATTGAGCCACATGGAGGAAGGTAAATGGAAGCGGTATATATGTGTACGTGTCTGCGTGTTCATGTGTGTCTATGTGAGTTCTTGGGGCCTTTACGGCGGTGGTGGGGAAGCGTAAGTGCTTTTTCCCACAGGCTTTTTGGCCTCCACTGCCTCCCGTACCCTGAGGAGGTAGTCCCATGCTCTGCAACTGTCTAACTGCTCCTCCATCTAGCCTAGGAGAGTGCAGGCTGCTAGTATACAGGGCCTAGGCCTTAGACATCTTTGTCTTTCCAGCACTTGAATGATGTCTGAAAAGCAGAGAATCCATGGCTCCAGAGAAGAGGGTGGTGGAGCCAGGGCAGAAAAAGCAAGGAGCTAAGTTTTCTCCAGAGTCAAGACTAAAAGGCAGCCTCACTAACAAACACATGAAAAGATGCTCAACATCACTCATTATCAGAGAAATGCAAATCAAAACCTCAATTAGGTACCATTACACGCCAGTCAGGATGGCTGCTATCCAAAAGTCTACAAGCAATAAATGCTGGAGAGGGTGTGGAGAAAAGGGAACCCTCTTACACTGTTGGTGGGAATGCAAATTAGTACAGCCACTATGGAAAACAGTGTGGAGATTTCTTAAAAAGCTGGAAATAGAACTGCCATATGACCCAGCAATCCCACTTCTGGGCATACACACCGAGGAAACCAGATCTGAAAGAGACACGTGCACCCCAATGTTCATCGCAGCACTGTTTATAATAGCCAGGACATGGAAGCAACCTAGATGCCCATCAGCAGACGAATGGATAAGGAAGCTGTGGTACATATACACCATGGAATATTACTCAGCCATTAAAAAGAATTCATTTGAATCAGTTCTAATGAGATGGATGAAACTGGAGCCCATTATACAGAGTGAAGTAAGCCAGAAAGATAAAGACCAATACAGTATACTAACACATATATATGGAATTTAGAAAGATGGTAACGATAACCCTATATGCAAAACAGAAAAAGAGACACAGATGTACAGAACAGACTTTTGGACTCTGTGGGAGAAGGTGAGGGTGGGATGTTCTGAGAGAATAGCATTGAAACAAGTATACTATCAAGGGTGAAACAGATCACCAGCCCAGGTTGGATGCATGAGACAAGTGCTCAGGGCTGGTGCACTGGGAAGACCCAGAGGGATGGGATGGGGAGGGAGGCGGGAGGGGGGATCGGGATGGGGAACACATGTAAATCCATGGCTGATTCACGTCAATGTATGGCAAAAACTACTACAATATTATAAAGTAATTAGCCTCCAACGAATTAAAATAAATGGGAGAAAAAAAATTTTTTTAATAAATAAATAAAAGGCAGCCTCAGTGGCGCCCAGAAGGTGCGCAGTGTGAGTCCTGAGAATGGGAATGCAAGCCAGGACTCAGCATAAAAAAAAGCAGTTCAGAGCTCCAGACTCGTGCTTGAGTTTTGGCTTTGCCCCTTCATAACTTTGAGGTTATAGGCAATTTAACTTTCCTAAGCTCATTTGTCACATTGACAAAAGAACAGAACTTATCCCGAGACTCTTGTTGAGTTTTAATTAAGAGAACTTCTGGAAACTGTTTAACATAATGTTGGCAAACAGTAAGCTCTCAATAAATGTCAGCTCTGAGTAACCCTGTTTGGTTGTAGGGCCCGCTCTCTGGTCTCTGAGTAGAGCGGATGGCATGCAAAAGTGTAAGGTATTCCAGTACCCAGTAATCTCATTCTGTCCAGCTTGTAGACCAGTATTCAGGGAAGCATAAAAGCAGAGATATTTTTTTAAAGCCAGGAAATGAGTAAATATCAACTGATGCCAACCTAGATACTGGGCATGATGTGGACAAGCAGAGCGGGCTCACGTGATGGGACTAAGGAATGTGCCCAGTTCCAGGCATTTCATGAAAAACCCATCAGGACGATTTAAGATAATGAAGCCATTGAGAAATCCCAAGACTTCCAAAACCCTAGCAATCTGTTTGTTGGTTTTTCTCTCTTTTTTTTTTTCCAAATTACACAACCCTTAATTTAACTTTTAACACCTATCTGTTTAAAAGACTAACCCACAACATTTCCAGCTGTGAAACGATTAACCTGGAAAAACCTCAACCTGGGCAGTTATATTACTGAATATTTTTATGTGGTTCCAAGAGCAATGTTTTCCACAGCAAGCGTCAGTGGCTGTGCTCACACACACACACACACACACACACACTCACTCACACATAGTTTGGTTTCTGGTATCTCTAGCCAATACGGCAGGAAAAATAACGAACCTTTTATATTTCGGTCAACTTGCTCCTCCCAGGGTCTAGTCTAGTTCCTGGTTTTGACACTGATGCCTTGCTTAGTTAGAAACCACCAAGATATTATTTAATGGTCTTAGAGCCACTGAAGTTTGGCTAACTCCTAAGGGTCCTTACATTCCCACAGGAAAGGGCTTAAGCCCTATGCTACTTACTGGTAGAGATTTTTCACAGACTGTTCAGTGCTAGTCAAGCTGAAATATGGTCCCTGTCTATTCAGGTCATCAACCTCTCCTCGGCAGAAGCCCACTCGGGCTGGAAGCTGGAGCTGGACATTGTAAGATTCTTTGGGGCGTGTTCCAAAGAACTGAAGGCCATTGGCAGGATAAAGAAAGAGGGCGTAGGTGTCAGATTCATCAGATGCCAACACTGCCTGGAAAGTATTCAGCTGTGAAAAAAACAGAAAATATTCTTAATAAAACAAACAAACAACAACAACAAAAAACTGCAAGCAGAGCATTATGAAATGCAAAGGGTTGTCCCCCTTCTCAGGATTTCTCTAAATTGTTTTAACATAATATTCTTTTAAATTTGCTCTCCAAGTTATAAGCATAATTACATAAGCTGTATTATTATAATCATCTTTTATCAATTTAGATTAATAGTTGAAATATGCATAGGTTTAAAAAAAAAAAACCACAGGTTAGGACTTCCTTGGTGGCACAGTGTATAAGAATCTGCCTGCCAATGCAGGAGGCACAGGTTTGATCCCTGGTCCAGGAAGATCCCACATGCTGTGGAGCAACTAAGCCTGGGCAACACAACTACTGAGCCTGTGCTCTAGAGCCCACGTGCCACAACTACTGAAGCCCGTGCACCTAAATTCTGTGCTCTGAAGCAAAAAAAGCCACTGCCATGAGAAGCCCACACACGGCAACAAAGTGTAGCCCCCACTCAGTGCAACTAGAGAAAGCCTGTGCAAATCAACAAAGACCCAGCGCAACCAAAAATAAAGAATTTTTTTAAAACACAGGTTAAAAAAAATAAAACTTTTTTAAGGTTTCAAACTTCTATCATCCAAACTTCTTTCAGAGCTGAGAGTAAATAGCAAAATTAATGTGTATATTCCCATAGTCATTGCCCTAGTTTACTGCCCTGGGCACTTAAATGGGATCATTCATTCATTCATTCACTCCTTCACTTATTTATTGAATCACCGTTATGGGCAAGGGTGGTGTGAGGCACTGGCTGATCAAAAGGCCTCATTACAGTTCTCAGAGCCTCACTCTCTATTCTCTTCCATCTACCTTCTGACACCAGCACCACAGTTATCCTATCCTCATTTCTCAGATGAGGAAACCAAGACAAGGACTAAGAGATCTACCTAGTGTTAGGCTGTTAGTATGCAGTGGCAGGACGGCCAGCTCCAGGGTCCCTGCCCTGCACCACCAGGCTGTCCCAACCACTCCTTGGCCTGCCACGCCAGGTGATTTATAAGCTGCAAACTCTCTTTCTAAGCTCACATCCGCTGTATCTTCACCAGATTATTTAATATTGCCCATCTGTCCCATATACTCTGATGCTTCTGAACATTTATTTACTCACATTTTCCTGTGCCTAGAAACACTCCTGCCCTTCTAATACTGCCCTCTGAGAGGTTTTTGAGATCCCCTGTACATTTATTGCTGTTCTCTGACCCTCCACAACATCTTAGTGAGTGTTTATAGTTCCTCGTTTAGCCTGGTTAGCTGTTAACATATTTGTAAACTTGATTCATTAATTCATGTGTACATTAATTCAGAGAGCCAGGTGCCAGCCCAGCACTGGACAGTGTGCTTGGTGGGAAGAAGCAAAGGGGCAAAGGATGGCAGCCTCCACCCAGGACAGTCCCAGAGCTCAGGACAGGGGGCAGCCACGGCTGGGATTCCAGGAGAGTTGCTGGAGAAGGTAGTAGAGGCCAGAGCGGAAGGCGCGGGCCCCAGACCTCAGGGCTGGAACAGGCAGGCGTCGCAGAGGCTGACTGTGAGTGGTAATAAACACCGCAGGAGCCAAAGCAGACCAGGACAGGCCAGGAGCCTGAACTAGCCACAAACGCAACACCCAGGTCCTTATGGAATCACTCCTTAAAGTTCAACTTACTCTAGTATTTTCAACAGGACACTTGTTTTTTTTTTTGCCTTTACCTAAATCCAGCTATCTCTCTCACAACACACAAATGATCAGTTAATGGTGCTTGAGTATCTTTTAAAAAATGTCACATGAAGGCCTCTGAGGACAACCCTCTCACTAAATCCCATTCTTTTTACAACTTAGCAGGGAGCAGGAGAGGTATTTATAAATACCACTACTTCCTAAATAATGTGACCCCTAGAAACATTATTTACTGGTAAGGAGCACTGTCTCTCCATTTTACTAGACACACAAAGTTAGGCAGAGAGAAACATATCACATTTTACTAAATAAAACAGCAGACCATAGGTATGGGCCTGTCCTGGGTCCTTCCCCAAATGGTGGCCAAGCTCTTTTCTAATGTTAATTATTCTTTTTTGATGATTAATTTCAAAGTATAGTTTGGATGGTTTGCTTACAAGATAAAGTTTAGGTGTTAAAATTGGGCAGCCACGGCTGGGATTCCAGGAGAGTTGCTGGAGAAGGTAGTAGAGGCCAGAGCGGAAGGCGCGGGCCCCAGACCTCAGGGCTGGAACAGGCAGGCGTCGCAGAGGCTGACTGTGAGTGGTAATAAACACCGCAGGAGCCAAAGCAGACCAGGACAGGCCAGGAGCCTGAACTAGCCACAAACGCAACACCCAGGTCCTTATGGAATCACTCCTTAAAGTTCAACTTACTCTAGTATTTTCAACAGGACACTTGTTTTTTTTTTTGCCTTTACCTAAATCCAGCTATCTCTCTCACAACACACAAATGATCAGTTAATGGTGCTTGAGTATCTTTTAAAAAATGTCACATGAAGGCCTCTGAGGACAACCTTCTCACTAAATCCCATTCTTTTTACAACTTAGCAGGGAGCAGGAGAGGTATTTATAAATACCACTACTTCCTAAATAATGTGACCCCTAGAAACATTATTTACTGGTAAGGAGCACTGTCTCTCCATTTTACTAGACACACAAAGTTAGGCAGAGAGAAACATATCACATTTTACTAAATAAAACAGCAGACCATAGGTATGGGCCTGTCCTGGGTCCTTCCCCAAATGGTGGCCAAGCTCTTTTCTAATGTTAATTATTCTTTTTTGATGATTAATTTCAAAGTATAGTTTGGATGGTTTGCTTACAAGATAAAGTTTAGGTGTTAAAATGTTTTTCCAGAAAAAAAACCAAAATATTATCCAACTTTACTTTTAGATCTCCAACATAGAAAAGGTCACCTTGCTTGGCTTGGCTTTTTGCTTTCCTTTAAGTTCAGAAACTTAAAGACAAGGAGGGGGGCCTCGTATATTTGTTATTGTTGTCATTGTTGATGGTTTCAGCCGGAAAGCTTGACTTTTCCAAAAACAAAAGGCAAGGGATGTTTTCTAGAATTTCTCAAAGCTCGGAAGCCATAACTTCTGCCAAATGTAAACAAAGGCCATTCTGTATCATGTCCATACAGAATGTATACATTATCGATTAATGGCAATTCAGTAACTTCAGAGTTTTACTTTACTCAGAATAAATAAAGTTCAGCTAGAGAAAGAAAGGTACTCAAGGAAAGAGACTCTGTTTTAAGAAGCAAAGCTTTCAAAGCTTCTGGCATTGATTGCCAACAATAAATGTCAGATAGGAGGAATCCTGGTTCTACATCTAGAGAAGCTCTGTGAGATAAGGAGGTCCTATAGATTGTGAAGGAATTGAAAGGGATGGGAAAGGGAAGGGAAAAGTAAACAGAGCTGGGAAGAGGAGAGTCTGGCTTTTTACTGTGGGGTCTGGGTATTTAGCTAGTCAACAAATTTTATTCATTCTTTCAGCCAGTGAGCAAATTTATTTCAATGAAAAGTTATTCAACATCTTCATATGCCATCCTTGAGACAAGTACTTATTACAGGTGGCAAGCATTTATTTAATCTACTTGTCTTCACTAAATAGGCAAATAGAAGAATTTTAAATAGAATTTAGGATCCCAGAGTACCAGACATAAAAATCTGGCTGTTTAAAAACCACCCGCACACCAAATGATCACGTTTAAAGTTCTCTCTCAGTTCCACAACATTCTACACCTAATCGCTAAAGAGCCCACTTCAAGATGTCCTGCAGGGCTCCTCCTCCTAGAACACTCCTTGACTGGCTTCCTAACCGGAAAGGTCTACACATTCCTGGAGAAAAGACTTTGCAAGAACCCCACATGCTCTGTCCTTGAAGGGAAAGCCTCAGATGGGCTGCCAAACCTCACAAAAGGGTCACCCGTTTCCAACTTCCTCAGGATCCCAGGGAGGAGAGGAGCAGGGCCCATGCTGCGGAGCTTCAGGATCCACCTTCCTGCTATCAGAAAGAGAGAAGCCAGAGCTCTCAGCAGAAATCAGACAGCTTCGGGCTCTCCCCTCCAGGTTCAGGGCACCACCAATCAGTGCTGACTTGATGCTTGGCAAAGCCAGGCTGATGGATACAAAGCATGCTCCTCAATAAGTTCCTAGTTTATGCAATTTACTTAATTAATTTCAGCCATCTGGCCAAATATCACGACAATACCATCCATGTCCCAAAGGGTTTGCCTAAAGTGGCTTACAAAAATTATAATGAAAATTAAGAAGTAGGATCACAAAGTTCCCCTTCCTATCTTCTTTAGGTTCTCATGCTCTCTACCCTCCTAGCATTATTAGCTTCTCATCTCCATTGTTTGGTGTGAATGCTAATCTCCATTCCTTAGTATATTTCTCTATCTACCATTACCTATACATCACTGTCACTTGCATGATTTTCCTTAATTCATTTTTTCTGCCCTTAATCCTACAGATCCTGCCAAAAATACCAAAATAAATGCCCAGTACTATCACATCCCTAATATTATAACCTTCCCCACACTTGGTCTTTAGCAAAACTTCAGCATTTCTTTAACCAATTTCCATATATGTCTCTGTGCTCTATGTCTGCATAGCTAGATCTCAGACACAAGCTAAACTCTCTCAGACAGACTGTAGGCCTCCCTTCTTTGGGACCTCAGCTTCAAAATTCAAAAAAGCTACAACCATGTCCTGCTTTTACTTCTCATTTTCTCACTGGATCCAACCCCCTCCATCAATGACCATCATTCTTTGAAACACATCAGCATATCTCACTCCCGAGGTGAGGCCTCCACTAGGAAGCCTTCTGCTCATCTTATTTTACTGCCCATACCTGCCTTCATCCATATCTTCAGCCTTAGCTCTCTTGGCCTTCTTCCAGGACACATCTTCAGCCAGCACAATCTGTCCTGCTGCCCCATTCTCAATATCCATTATTTCAGCCCAACTTA